CATCGCCACTACCGGCAAAGTCGCCCTGCGCGGGGGCCGCGGACTCCGGAGCGCGCGGGAGGCAGCCAATCAGGAGCCGCGCTGCGTCCAGGGCTCTACGAGTCGCCGATGGGGACAAATCACGCCACAGAAACCAGGAAGCACCGCGCCTCCAGCGGCCTCTCTGCGGCTGCGCGCGCAGCTGAGAACGAGCTGCAGGCCCCCTGCCACCTTGCCCGAAATTCCCAGCTTAAAGGGACCGCAACTTTTTACTAGCTGTAGAATTTCTTTAAAAAAAAAAAAAAAGCCGTGCCCTAACCGGTTTGGCTCAGTGGATAGAGCGTGGGCCTGCGGACTGAAGACTCCCAGGTTCGATTCCGGTCAAGGGCATGTACCTTGGTTGGGGGCACATACCCAGTAGGGGGTGTGCAGGAGGCAGCTGATCGATGCTTCTCACTCATCCATGTTTCTCTCTATTCCTCTCACTTCCTCTCTGTAAAAAATCAATAAAATACATATTTTTTTAAAAAGCCGTCACTGGGTCCCAGATTTCTTCAAGATACATTGGCCCTACCGGTTTTGCTCAGTGGATAGAGCACGACCGCGGACCCAGGGTCCCAGGTTCGAGTGTGATCAGGGACATGTACCTCGGTTGCAGGCTCCTCCCCGGTCTGGGCCCTGGTCGGCCTTGCAGGAGGCAGCCAATTGATGTCTTTTTCTCACTTCGATGTTTTTCTCTGTCTTTATCTCTCTCTTTCACTCTCCCTAAAAAAAAAAAAAAAAAAATAAGTGGTCCTTGGGTGAAGATTAAAAAAAAAAAAAAAAAAAAAAAAGGGGGCCTTGGGGGAAAAATAAAAAAAAAAAAAAAAAAAAAAGATGCACTGTGCCCCAAAACCAAAATTAGGGGGTCAGCTCCACAGTCTCGGCGCCCCTGCACTGGAGAACCAGACGACATCCCCAAAACATGCCCTGCCTGCAGCAGCCTGGAGTCCCTAACTAATTCCCCATGTAGAGAGTTATTCTTACAGCGCACGGAAGTGCACGCGTGGGACAGAGGGGACGTACCGTGGCACCAATAAAGCTGCGGCTACTTTCTTTGTGCAGATTTACTGAGGGGCTTTGACATACAGTAAACCGCCCGTTTAAAGTGTGCGCTTGTCTCAAAACTGCCGGGTGGGTGGACCCACTCAGACCCTGAAAGCGGGACGTCGGCGTGTGCGCTGCCCGCCCCCACCAGCACCAACAAGCAGAGACAAGGCTTCGATCTCTATGGACCTTTGTTCTGGCGGCCAGCTATCGGGACCATCTAACATCTCCTTTCAAGCCACGCTTTTTACAAGGAGCAGGAAAGTGTAGGTAAAGGGTTTGGAATTCAGGAGAAAGTAAGTAAGGGGTTTGGAATTCAGGGGAAAAGGTTAATCAGATAAAAGCTGCAGCCTGTGATTTTCCAGGCATCCCTTCATCTGCCGGTCGGTGTCCCTTCATCTGCCGGTCACCCCTTCATCTGCCGGGCACCCCTTCATCTGCATGCGGGCGGCAGGCGCCCTCTCCCTGGAGCACCAGGGCTCCGATACCGTCTAGGTCGCTCGCAGGCCTCCCGGGCACAACGAATGGCTGCGGGTCTCCTGAAGGCCGCGCAGGTCACACATTCCAGTCCCTGCAACCATAGCTTTATACGTGCATTCATGTCCGAGCCCACTATCGGCCTAACACTAAAAACTTTTAACGTCTTGAGTTTCCCATCAAAACCATCCCCACGACCAAGATAATGAACCTACCCACCAGCCCTAAAAGTGTCCTCTTTGTCCTACAGGTTAGTTGGCGTCTTGTTCCTGAGACAGGGACGCCCAGGGCGGGTCCTTTTGGCCGCTGCCCGTTTCCCTCCGCTGGGTTTATTTTTAAATTCATCCTCGCTGTGTCAACCGCGCGCCCCATTGGGTTGCTCAGAGACGTGCCGCTGTGTGGGTGCAGCACGGTGTGCCCCTTCCCTAGTCACGAATCCCTAATTGTGTGTGTGTGTGTGTGTGTGTGTGTGTGTGTGTGTGTGTGTGTTTT